CAAGGGGGCCCCCCCCCCCTTTCGGGGGCCGTAAATTTTAAATTTTTTTGGATTGGATACCGCAATTTTGACCCCCCTTTCCCCTTGAAAACCCCAAAAAAATAAAGGCCCGGGGTTAAAGGGCCTTTTTCTGTTACCCCCAAACGGGGGCCCCCTTTTTTTTCCTTTTCCGGGAAAAAACCCCACTGCCGGCCCCCCCCCCCCCCCCCCCCCCCAATGCCCGCGCCCCCTCAACCCCTCGGGCTCGTTCTCTTCCACCGCTCCCCCGGCCCTCCTCCTCCTTCGCCGCTAACCGCTCGTGCTCTTCTCAACACCCCGCCCTCCTCTCCGCGGCTTGTGGCGTCGTCAGCTGGACGTTGTGTGGTGCCTGATCCAGGGGTTTCTCCTTCACGGCGGGGCGGAGGAAGACGGGCGCTCTCTCGACAGTCTACGGGCGCTCCTCACGAAAGCCTTGCACGGCGTTGAAAACCGGTAGGAGAGGAGAGGGCGCGTTACCATGCACGTACTTTTTTGCTGCTGTGCGGGACACCTGTCAGTTGTAGTGCACGTGTGGGGGCAACCTCAGTGTTAGTACCTGGTGAAAGGGCCGCTTTTGAATCGCGTGAGACCTCACGGATTTGATTGACGTAAGACTCTTCTTTTCCCATCTGAATATCTGCAGCAGTGCGTGGTGGCCCCTGTTGCGGCGGTGAAGCTGCCCAGCACGCGGCCGCACTACTGAGCCCTTCCCCGTGCTGCCCGTGACTTGAGTGAAAGTACCCCGAACATCGCCGTGGTTCCGAGCCGTTGGTAGCAAAAAGCGATGGACAGTACAGACGACGTGCGGCAGAGCAATGGGTGTAAGGGGCTAGACACGAGTCATCCTGCCAAAGAACTGTTGAAGGTGGTGTATTGGCAGAGCTTGGGCTCGCCAAATCAATCGAGTCATGTGGGCAGCACCACAGTGCCTGCCGGAGGAGCGAACGGCAACTCTCTCCACGTTTTCGACACCCTCGCGTCGTCGGTAGAAAAATTGAAGATGACAACACAGCGAAACACGAACCGGAAGAGGCATGTAGCATGAGCAGCAGTGGGCGCAGCCACAGATTCCCCCCCCCCCGCCCCGGGGTGCCCAGGCCACCGACCCCGTGACCCCCGCCCCACGGAAAGCAAGACGGTTACCAACTCTACACCATTGTGTGCCGCCACCTGTCGACCATATTTGTCGTTTTGCCGCCCCGTGGGTTTTGGGGCCTGCGAATGGGAACAACGACGGCTACAAACGACGACGACACAACAATAAAAAAATCACCAACACCAACACCAACGCCAACGCCAATACCAACACCAACACGACCAACAACAAACAACGACGAAATCATCAACAACAACAACAACAACAACAACAACAACGCTCGTTTGGGTGAAACGATCGCCAGGTTCGAAACGGAGTGCGACCGGGCGGAGGCCGCGCGGCGGCACTCGATGATCTACGACGGCGACATCGTCATCCCGTCCCCGGGCCACGGGCACCGCCTGACTCCCGTTCCGGGGGTGGCGGCGACGGCTTCACGAGAGAGTGCCGGTGGTGGCGGCGGCGGCGGTGTCAGCCGCGGCGGTTCGTCAAGGAGGAACTCCGTCACTTCCTCTGCCGGAGGGGGCGCCTTCCCCCCGCCGCCGGCGGTGCCCCTGTCCACCACCTCTTCGTCTTCCGCCCCGGGCTCGGGGCCCGTGCCTCAACAGCAGCAGCAGCAGCAGCAGCAGCCGCGGCAGCAGAGCCGGCAGAAGACCCAGCTGGACGGGATGGCGGATGCCATCGTTCTCGCGCTCAAGTTCCTGCCGCTGGACGCGGCGCCGATCGCCCTGGTGGTCACCGACGGCCTGGTGGACTACCCCTCGCCCACGGAGTACGACGGCCTGTCCATGCGGCTCTGCCGCCACGACGTGGCCGTCTCGTGCCTCCTGATGGACCGCATGGGGGAGAGGGCTGATGTCGGCGTCGGCGTTGGGGTCGGCGGCGGAGGAGCCGCCACCACCGCTTCCTCCGTGGCGGTGTTGCCGAGCGGCAACAGGGGAGCTACAGCAGTGGGGAGGTGGTTGCCGGCGGCGGCCGCGGCGGGGGGGGTCGGGGGCGCCATGGGCAGGTACGAGACGGACAGAGTGGACATCAGCTTTGCGCCGCACGGCGAGGCCTACGCGGCCGCCCGGAAGCACCGGGTGCCGGACCTGAGCGGCCTAGCGCACCTGGTCGGGGTGACCGGCGGCTGGCTCTTCGACCTCGAGACCCTGGAGGCCGAGCTTGCTGCCGCCGCCGCCGCCGCCGCCGCCGCTGCTGCCACTGGCGGCGGAAGGGGTATTCCGATCCCGGGCACGGACGGGAGAGCGGCTGTACGCGAGGACGGGGCGGCGAAGGAGGAGAGCGGGGGGTCGGAGGATGGGACGATGTCTTGCGGTGGTGGCCCGAGCGCGGCGCTATGCCAGGTATGTCAACCGTTGGTGCTGTCGATGTTCTTCTTGTCGTGGTTGTCGTGCGTGTGGTTCTGCTGCCCCTGTGGTGGTTGGGTGGGTGTTGTTCTTGCTGATGATTGTACATACGGTGTTTGCCGGAAAGAAAACTCGCTGACAAAGCAGAAGACGGCCGGGATATGGTTTTCTTCTCTGGGATCTTTGTTTCCGAGATACTTATCTGCAAAGGTTCCCGGGGTGTGAGAAGATGGGAGTGGGATTGTGCCCCCCCCCAAATGGACAATGTGCAACAGTCCTTTCCGAGAGACAGAGAGAAAGAGTGAAAGGAAGAGAGAGAGAGAGAGAGAGAGAGAGAGAGAGAGAGAGAGAGAGAGAGAGAGAGAGAGAAAGAGACTCATGCCAGCTGCTCCTCCGTCCGTGTGTTTGCCGTTTGCAGCAGCTGTACGTGCACCAGTCCCCGTTCCCCCCTCCCTCCGTTTTCTCCTTCCAAGCGTGCCTACCACGTTTGACATACTCCTCTTGTGTGCGTGAATAAAGCTTTGTTGCACGAACATTACGTTTGCGTGAGTGCGCGTGCGTGCCACAAGACAAGACGATCAACCACTTGTATGACAATACCTCATTGACCTCCTCCGACCCCCCCCCGCACACACGTCGAGACGACCATTTCTTGACATATTTCGATCCTCTCCCGAAAAGACGCGATTTGTATTGCTGCTGGTTGCTGGTTGCTACTGCTGCTGGTTGCTGCTGCTGCTGCTGTTTCTTGCTGTCGTTGTTGCTTACTGCTGCTGCTGCTGCTGCTGCTGCTGCTGCTGCTGCTGCTGCTGTTTCTTCTTCTTGTTGTTGTTGCTTACTGCTGCTGCTGCCGCCACCGCCCTCCCCGCCACCGCCCTCCTCGACGTCGGCGGTGCCATACCGAACAAAACAACGGCAGGCGGGCCGCCCAGTCGCCGCTTCCCCCCTCCAGCGGAAGGCGCTCTTCCGGGCCTCTCCCCTCAGCGTTGAGACGTCGCGGCAGCTGCTCTCGAGCCACAACCCGGCTCTCTACACGAGGAAAGCCCCAACAGCGGCGGCGGCGGCCGCGACGGCTTCCGCCACGACGAGGAGCATCCCGATTCGCGGCATAGCGGCGGGCGCCGGCGGCGCCGGTGTTGGTAGAGGAGGCGGGGTTGTCGGGGGAATCAGTACCCCGGGTCTTTCCCTTCGTGGTGGTGTTGGTGTTGGTGGTGGCGGCGGTGGTAGCAGTGCGGGCACAAGCCCCGACGAAGGGGCGGGTCTGCTCGAGGCCATGGACTCGGTCAGCCAAGTTTCTGGTAAGAGAGAGAGAGAGAGAGAGAGAGAGAGAGAGAGAGATTGGGAGAGAGAAAGGGCAGAAGCAACACGAGAGCTTTAATTCGCGCTTGCATTTATGCGCACACGCTTTTGGGCTTGGGTGTGCAGACAGGCATGCTTCAGGTGGGCTCATGCGTACATTTGTTGTGGCGTTTGATTTTCTTGAAGCATCGGACACGACGCCGTCGCCGTCACTCACTCCACGCCCTACTCCCGTGGCCTTGGCTGAATACATGATGCTCGCCCTGAGCTGATGTTGTCCTGCTCGATATCCCTCCGCCGCGGGCATCGATTCTTCAAGGGCGGTCAACGCCCTCAAGACTACAGCCATGCCGACGCCGCCCAACCCCCCCCCCGCCATTCCCTTCTTTCATTTGCTCTACTGGAAGTGTTTGTTCTGCTCTGCAGGACAATCTTGTCTCGTGTGCGCGTTATCATGTTGTTTTTTCGTTTCGTTCTTGTTGTGTCCTTCTTCCGATGCCCTGTACGTACCCTACCGTTAAATTCTGTGTGTTGTGTTTTCTTGTTGCAGCGCCCAGTGTCGGGGAGATGGCCGAGATGACGAAGCGGTCTATGACCATACTGCGGGAATACGACTGGAGGTACGGTACAGTACAGTACAGTACAGTACAGTGCAGTAGGCACACGTCGCGTGGCGAGGGCGTGCACGGTTAGAAGACGGGTGTTTTTTTTTTTGGGGGGGGGTTGGAAACAGGGCAAGCTTGTTGCGTGGGGGGAAGGGAAGGGGTCTGTGTCCAGGGCAAGCATGCCCCGGGGGTGTAAGAAAGAAATTGGTTGAATTTCGGACTGTCCAGTCATGGCTCCGCCCGGCGTTTTGGGGAAAGACCCGGCCATACAGAGGGAGGAAGTGACATATACCATGTGTTTTTGAGACTGCTGTACGAGAGGAGAAGCTTAAGCGAGAGTACCGCCCTGAGTGCGTCCCCCGTTCTTCGCGCTGCGACTGTTCCTTGATTTTCGCGAACATGTGCCCCGATGCTCTAAGCGCTCTAGTTAACCGGTGCACATCTATTTATCTCACATGTTCCTTTTGAGTGGTTGCATAGCAACATCCCGGCCTTGTTCCAGGTGTGTACCATGGTGTTTATTCAACCACATCGCTTCCAGGCCAATTCTCTCTCTCTCTCTCTCCCGTTTTCACGATTATTCGTAAGTTCTCTTCTAGTAATGTGGTTTGGAACAAATACCTGCGATCGATTTCCTATTTCTTTCGTTGCCAACGGGTGGCATGGCATGGAAGATTTTCAAGAGTTCTTGTCGCCCTTTTCAATAGCCACGAAGTACAAGACTAACGCGATGGAGGATTTTTTTTTGCGCGCTCTTGATGATTTATTTGAAAGTATTGGTGGCTCCCGCCTGAATCGTCATCCCAGTCTCCCACCTCCACCGTGATATCGTCGAAAACACATACCCTGTCCAGTAGAGGTCCCTGTTTAGTGCCGGGGTGTGCGCCGAAATGTCACCGGCACTAAACCGGACACCGGCACTATTCAAAGTACAGGACACCGGCACTATTCGAAGTACAGAACGACTTGGTGTTCCCGTGTGTGCGAGCCGAAAACGCCGGCACTAAACCGGGCACCGGCACTATTCAATCGGCACTAAACAGGGACCTCTACTGATCTTCGTTTTTGATTTTTTGTATGTCGTCGGTCGCTGCTTTTGTTTCGCCTATTTTTGTATGTGTGTTTTGCCCCAAGCTCTACTTATCTGCTTCTTATCTCTGTCTCTTGTCTTTTTGCGGAAAATCGGTTCGCACTGCTCTGTCACCACACACAACGACAAACCCGAACAACGTCCACCGAAAACAACGCAACAGCCTGGATCCGGCCAACCTGTCGAGGGTGCTCGAGATGCGTTGCTCGGAGGGCTTCCGCCTGTTAGACGTAGAGATACGCCGCGTCAGGGGCGGCGGCGGCGGCGGCGGGGGAGGGGGAGGGGGAGGCAACTGTCCGGACAAGGGACCTAGACGGGCGGCAAGCGCAACCAAGGCTGCTCGGCAGCAGCAGCAGCAGCAGCAGCAGCAGCAGCAGCAGCAGGATTCGATGGCGCCCCCTAGTGGGCCTGCCAGCCAACAGCCACAGGGAACGCCTAGCCGGAGGCGTGGCGGCACGAAGGACGCTGCGCCGTCGCCCTCGCCGCTGCTGGCGGCGGCGGCGACCGGGTTCGGCGGGGAATCGTCGGGAGTTGGCAGCGGCGGCGTTGGCAGGTGCGGCGATGGGTTGCTACTGAAAGTTT